AATCTTGCATTCTTTTTATATGCTCCTTATTTCTTGGGGCTGCACAGTTCTCATGGACACTAAACTTCTATCTAATTGAGTTCTGGTGATCTCTCAGAGCTTTGTCTGACTATTCAGTCAAAGCCTCCCCGAGTCATTCTCCAAGGTCACTGCCCAGCTCCACCCCCTCACCCTGCTTCACACGCGGTAGTCCCTGAGCCCCCAATTCTCCTGGGAAAGGCAGAGTAGCCTCCCCTAAGGTCTATGCACCCTTCTACCTGGGAGGCTAAGGAAGAAGCTCTAAAGCCTAGTAACTGCCCCCAGGGAGCGTTTGGCACCACGGCTTCCTGCTTCCCGCCCTTTCAGGGGCAGCTGCTGCCGTGGTGAGGTCTGTTGGAAGGGCAGGTTCCAGGTAAGAGGCACTGGAGCCGAACCCCTAATCTCCCAGAGGAGGAGGAGTCGTAGCCAAGGTCACCAGCTAGAGCTAGAACCCAGGACTCCAACTCCCAGGCTGTGTTCTGACACATCCCTCAATGAGGGACCAATCAGCAGAGCCAGAAAGCAGCTCACCTGTCACAGCCCCAACCAACCAGTCCGCACAGCAGAGTAGGCTGTGGACAGCCCTTCAGTTGCTTGGTAAACAGAACGGAAACAGGCCTAGGTCCTGGCCTTTCTAAAATAAATATACATACCCTGTGTTTGTATTTCCATGCTCAGGAGGAGTGATCGTGATAAATAACTGTCAGCTATAGTGGGAATGGGGGGAGCAGGGCTGGGTCCCAAACATCAGAGGCTGGAGGAGAGAAAATGGGGACGAAGGGAGGCCTCAGGAGTCCTGTCTTGGGGGAAAGTTCTTACCAACAAAGCCCTGCACACACCGGGCCCTCTAAAAGCCAGGAGGAAGAAGCTGCTCTGGTCCCTCCGTCACCAGCACGGGGAAGAACACTGGTGGAACGGGATGGACGGCCACGATGCAGCACGAGGCTCCCTGCTGGTTCTCGTCCCAGCGCCCTCTCTCGGGCTCCCGTGGATCCCCATCTCGCCTCCTGCGGCTCCCGAGACCTCTGACGGCACCTCATCTTCCCCACCTGCCACGGTCCACCCAGCAGCCCAGTACACAGGATCGCTGACACCGCTCGCCCCAGCTGGCCCAGAAGGAAACACACAATGCCCGTTTGGGTTTGGGGGTGTTTTTACTAACAGACATGGGGAGGGGGGCAGTTGTAATAGAAACTACCAAACATGACCATCAAAACATTTCCAGAATTCTGTAAAAGTCCTACTGGGGTCACCCTTGGCTGTGGCTGGGTCCTAAATGGGGCAGCATCCTGGACCTATCGGCCCTTCCTTCTCTGCCACCGGCTCACCCCTATGCCCTCCGTGCCCTGCTCTGGCCAGGCCCTGGTGGTTTGGGTTAGGGATACAAAAGAGGCTCAGGCTGGGTCTCTGCCCATCCTACGGCCTAGAAGGAGGGCGAACACGCACAAGTCATGGGAGTGTGGGGCCAGAGGGGCCCAGGCAAGGTCGCTGAAGGATCCTCAAACCCAAGTCTTGCCTTGCATGTTCCTCGATGCCCTCTCCCCCACCCAACCCTGTCCTCCCAGCAGCTCCAGCCCCTGTGCAAACCTGCCCACCCCCTCTTGTCCCTCAGCTCCGGAGGTCCTGGCGGGCCTGCCACAGGAGCTCCCTGCTCCCCCTCCAGGTGCCAAGCTCCAAGCCGGCCTCACCCACCCCCCAGAGGACACCCTGACAGCCGCGTGTTCAGTCAGCACTTGATAAAGAAGTTGTTCAACGAAAAGAAGTATTTCCTACGAAAGGAAAAAATCATCCCATCAGAAGTCTCAAAGATCAAATCTTCCTTCTGGAACAGAAATCCTACCAACACTGCGTTAGCATCTGCGCTCTGTGCAGGGCGGAGTCACAGGAGCCCTCAGCCTCTCTCTCAGTCAGATAATTGATCTGGGAACCAGGCGCCTCCCCCCGGGTCTCCCACTTGCCACACTGGATTCAGTTCCCTGTTCGGTGTTTGCCCAGAACCCGTGTTATTGCTGTTTTCAGATCAGCTGCAGTGCCAGCTGCAAGAGCAGCGCTTGGTGCGAGTGCCCTTGAGTTCCCTTGCCCTGCTGCTGCTGCTGCTGCTGCTGCTGCTGCTCCGAATTCCCTCTGAGAGCACTAGGTGTCAACAGGCATGATCGTTATTGGAGTCACCTGATACCATACAAGAAGCGATGTCACACAGGCTGCCCAGCAGGACACATCGCTGCCAGGGTCTGTGCCCTAACGGAGGGGCCCAGGGCAACCCAGGCAGATGGTCTGTGAGCGTGACCACCAGCAGCTCTCAGGAGGGCACCGGACGTCTCAGGTGAGCTAAATGCTCAGCGTGGAACAAGGGATGCCAGCCGCCCTCTCCGCTCAAAGTAGAAGAAAGAATTAGCACCTCTTGGGGCCTGGAATGGGCTTGAACTTGCCCAAGGATAATGAAAGCTTTGGGCAGCAGCCCAAGATGTGGCCTTGACCCCACTCAGAAAGCCTCAAGGGGAGGGGTAAGGTGGCAATGGACCCGCTGTCTTCCTCACTGGAAGGGTGCCGTGCCACCTTGCACATGCCCCCGGTCTAAAGGAGACTGCCGTGGGGCCTGACAGCCAAAACCCCCCTGGCCTCTAACCCACCGCCTGGTACCCCAGGGCCAGACGAGGTTTCTCTCTGATGATCCCCTTCTACGTCTGGAATAAGACGACCAGCCCCTCTGGAGGAGAGGGCTGGAAGGTGAGTGAAGAGAAAGTCAGAGGAAGCACAGGGGCTACAATGACTCTAGGACAAACTCTGAATGTCCCCAAATAAAATGACCTCTCACTGCTCAGGCCCCAGGCCAGGCCAGCCGGTCACCTGTCTGTGGGTCAGTCACAGTCCCATTACCCCTTGTCTTTCTCCCTCAGATGCCCAACCTGGCCCCGCTGACACCCTCCCCTACACACACACCTCAAGGTACCCACCCATCCCTGGTAAGCTTTGGGGTTGCTGCAGCTTCCTGAGTGCTCAGAGGGCCTCCCCAGGCCCCCACCCTGGGGGAGGAAGCATCCCCCAAGCAGGCCCCCCAAGCAACACAGGATGTGTTTCTGCCAAATCTGGCCTCAGGTACTTAACTACGCTGCAGCTGCCTCCCCTTGCAGTTGGGGGGGCGGGGGGGGTCCCCGCAAGTGGGAATGGCGGTGACCTTCAAGGCTCCAGACTCCCAGGCCTTATCCATGTACTTCATACTGGGGAGATGTTCACAAGACAGGTTACGCCTGGTTCCTCCCTTCACAGAAAATGTTTCACGTATGGTTCTGAGGCCTCAGGGCCTCGTTATAATAGAGGCCACCCTGACGGAGGCTCATGCTCTCTTTCAAAAGCCTCCACCTTCTAATTTCTTATTTTCCTGTTGAGGAACGCCCGCAGTTCTCAGCTGTTTGCCAAGCAGAGATGACTGACACAACCGGTGTCCAATAAAGAGCCAAGCCTTCCTGGTGCAAGTCTCTTGGTCTCAGAGGCACAGGAAGAAGTGCCTCCTTCCTGGGGGTGGGGGTGGGGGGGTCTTGGCATTCCCCAGAGCGAACAGGGGAGCCCGGGGCCCACTGAGGCCCCCAGGGGAACCAGGCAGCCTAAGGTAGGGCTGGAGAAAGGAACGGAGCCCCGCCTGCAAAGCCCCTCAGCTGTGCCTCTGAGCGTGGCCCCTGCCACCGGTGTTTGGGTCCTGCTCTGTACCCATCTGTGTTGTAGGCTTTTTGTGTTTGCCTTTGCTTTGCTCCTTAGCAAAGTTCCTCTGAAACCCCACCTGGTCCTGGCCGATCTCAGGGAAAAGGGATTTTGCCCTTAGGCCCCTCAGCGAGGGGAGCCTATCAGAGGCCAGATGCTCTTAGTTAGAAGCCGTCACAGGGCCAGGGACCAAGGCAGCCAGGGCGACTAGAATGAAACGCTTAAGCCTGAGTGACAATCCCAGACCGCTGGAAGGGCACAGCGTTCCCTCACGAAGACAACAAACAGCCTCCCAGCAGTCTGTCCCTTCTCTCCTGACCAGCTTCAGGACGCCCGCTGTCGGCCTGAACGCCTGGAAGGAAGCTGGGAGGAGGATGAGGAAGAAGCAGGGCCGGCTTCAGCGGAACCGGCTGATGGGGATGCAGGATCCCGGCCTCGGGCTGAGGAACCCCACGAACGTCTCTGCCCCCGCCCCCTCGTCTCCCAAGGAGGAACTGAAGGTGCTCGCTCGTCTGGGATCTTGGACCACTACAGGTCCACCAGGTAACAGGGCAACTCCTGCCTGACGGAGCAGTCTGCAGTGTGAGAGAGCGGCCACCAGATGGCGACGCAGAGACAAGCGACTCCACCACGCTGCCGGTTGCCGAGCAACTGTGACGCAAAGGGCTCTGAGTTCACACCCTCAAGGCCCCCAGGTTATTTCTAGAGTAACAGACTGTGGCACAGGGAGTGGCCTCAGGAATCCCAGAACTGCCTGTCTTTTAAACCTGGAGAATCCAAAACGGTCCAGGGATCCTAAATCCAGCACCACCCTGGCGTCTAGGAGATTGGGCTACCTTCCCTGCTCTTCTGAAGGCCAAGAATCAGGAAGAGAAAATGAACGTTTTACATTCCCCTCTGCAGTTCCATAGCCACTGGGCATAGTTCCACAGCCACTGGGCAAGCAGGGATTTCCCTGGAGGCTAAAGTGAGCAACCACCTCCTTCTCCCCTCCCCCACTCACCCTTCTAAACAAGGGCTGGGTTAAAGGCATGTGACCTTGAGCCAGACCTTGAGTCGGTCCTTGAGCGCCCAGCTCCTCTGCTGCACTTGAGGGGCTCTAGGGGGTGATAAGGCCTAGCTCTGACCTTCTGTGGTCTTGACTCTCCCTTTCCCCCCAAGAGTTCTGTCCTTGCCTCAACCCTCTCCTCGGGTTCTGATGACCCTGAAAGTAGAATTCTTGCAATTCCAGATAGATAAACACGACCTAAGAAACCAGACAAGGAACCAAGCAAGTGAGGCAGACACAAGACAAGGGGTGTGGTTATAATGAGCTCAAAGCCTGTGCCGGTCTGGTCTGAGAAAGGACCTGGATGAGACAGGGTCAGAGCCTCGGACACAGTCCGAGGGCCCGAGGGCCTGAGGGCCGCGGCATCATCGTGGTCCCAGGCACGCCTTTGGGTCGCCAGGGTCCCACTGGCCCGGAGCTGGGCTCCGACAGGCCCGGGCGTCAGTCACTAAGGGGCCGAGGCCTCCGAGGGGCACCGTGCCCGAGGATCACACAGGCATGTGCAGCTCATTGTACTCGTCCCGGCCGTCCTCGTCGAAGTTTGGTTCGGCGTCTTCCGAGTCCAGCTGCGGGAGGAGCACAAGGTCAGCAGGGGCAGGGACGCCGACGCAGCCCCGCCGTTCCCCAGCTCCTCCCCTGGCCGGCAGCCCTCCAGGCTCCCAGACCTTCTCAGGCCTCGCTGTCTGAAGGCACTGCCACCCCAGACCGAAGCACTTCCCTTGGGCCAAAACCTCACCCTCCCCACCACCTGCAGTGGCAGCGCCTCGCAACAAGACTAATGATACCACATGAGAAGTGCTTTCTTGGGGCCACTCCTAGATCTTGTGGAAACCTCTGCAGACCACGTTTGGGTGGGTGATTTGCCAAGAGACGTCCCTTCCTCCAGATGACAACGATACAGCTCACATGGGTTTCAGCACCACCCCACCACACCTGTCCCTCAGCTGTGCGCTTCTGCTCGACACGCAGCCTGCACCGACGTCTGCAGCAGCCTCTGCTCACTCACACCAGACCCGTCACACTCAGGGCTCTACCTGGATTAGTGTCTGAGTCTCACAGCAACCCCACTAGCCCCACTACACAGAGCAAGTAAGATTTCAGAAGGTCAGGTAACATGTGCACCGTCAGACAACCAGCAGGCGGCGCAGCAGAGGCCGGAACCCAGGGCTCCCTGACTCCAGGCCCCGACCACCCTGACACTGCCCCTAGCTCAACCCCGTACCGCCTGCAGCTCTCTGTTCTGGAAAAGCCGGGGCAGAAGGCAACGCCTCAGAGGCACCGTGAGCAGCAACAGGAAGGGAAAGGCGAGCGAAGCCGCTGTGGACTTGACCACCCAGAGCAGTGCGATGCATCCCAGCTGGATGCAGGTGAACAGGTGCATCCGCCACGTCTTCACCTGGGAACAGGCATCAGGTCTCACCACGCCGCCACTCACACCTCTGGGGACTTGGCTCCCCGAGTCCCAACTTATCTTCATCGTCACCCTGTCCGGGGCTGGCCCGGGGACGCCTCGGACCCTCTGCCCGCCGCCCATCTCCCCACCTCCACGCTTCCAGGCCATACCTTGGTCACATAGGGCTCCTCAGGATGGTGTTTTGCTGGCATGAGGATGAGCAACAGACGCTGGGACAGCTGGATGCCGGACAGCGACGTGACTCCCATGTACAGGAAGATCCCGAAGAGCACGGCTAACGGGATCTGGCGCAGCACGGCCCCCATGACGATGGACAGGCCTGCGGGAGATGGCACAGACCTACCTGACCGAGCCTCGGACAGTCCTGTGCGGACAGACAGGCCCGGTGGGGAGGGGGCGTGGACCAGCTAACTGATGAGCCGGGCGGGCCTCATCACCAGTGACAAGAGCAGATGGAGCAGGACAGGACAGAGAGCCGGGGGAGGATCTGGGAAAAGGGAGCTCGTGGAGGCTGGAGGAGCAGGGCTGGCGGACAGGGCAGGGGCCAGACGGGCCCCACGTGGAGGTTCAGAGGGACCTGGGCCAAGCCTGGAACAGAAAGTTGATTTTTAGGGGTTGCCTTGGGGGTCCCAGAAGGCGAGTCCGTGGGGTGGGGGCCAGGGCCCTGCAAGGTGGACGCGCTCACCCACGAGGCCGGAGATGAGCACGCCGGTGACCCTCTGCTCCCGCACCTCCTGGATCTGGGGCTTGTCTCCGGGCGCGATGGCGGTGCGCATGACGGTCAGGGCATTGACATGGGTGACCGAGCGGACGGTGGTAGCGCTGAGCCAGGGCAACCCAAACAGCCCGCAGAGCCCCCCCAGGGAGCCGATCAGAAGCAGGTCCAGGTGGAAGCCGGAGCCTTTGCGCAGCTTCCGCGCCTTCTGGCTGACAATGAGCCTACGGGGAGAGGGAGCACGGGGTGGGGGCGCGGGCGTGGGGCCCGGCAGCCTGCCTGGCACGCACAGCATGCACAGGGCCGGCGGGGAGCACAGGCGGAGGAGAGCTCTGCCCGGGACCTGCCAGCTTCCTCTCTCAAGTTCCCAAATTAAAGTTCTCACGTGTAAGCGAATTTGAGCCAAATTCCTACACTGTGGATGTCGGAAACGCCACAACAGCCAGATGCCGGGTCTTTGGTTGAACCACATTATCGTGGTTCAACCAAAACGAGAGAATGTGAGCATCGCTGGGTGAGGGGACGAACCGCCCGAGTGTTCTGAGGACTGCCGAGTGCCACCCACCCTGCCCGTGACCCATGTCAAAGCACCCCGGGGAGACTGTCCCCCTTGCCGCCAGCCCCGCCCCTCTCCGCTCGCTGCCCGGGGTCCCCCAGCCCTCTCACGCGGTGATCTGGGTCTCCATGAAGATCAGGATGAGGACCAGGAGGGCGGGCACAGCAGCTGCCACCATCATCCAGGGCGGGAACGGTTGGGCACTGCCCATTGGCGGGATGAACCATGTGCGCTTGTGCGGGGAGGTCACCGAGAGCCCCGTGGGCACTGTCAGCTTCTGCGTGGCCGGAAAGAAGGCAGGGTTCAAAGACCCCGCCCCCCCATGCTAGGAGCCCGTGCAGCAGCTGCTGCCACTAAGCTGTGTGTCCCCAGTACCAGGGCTCCAGGGAATTGGGATGTGAACAGGTTTGGGGCGGGGGGGGATCAGTTCTGCAGCCTCCCTTTAAGCTGCTGTCCCTTTAAGGGTGTGGTGTAGGGCAGAGATGCGACACACCTTCTCCCAGATCCCCAGAACTGCCAGGAAACCCGCTGTGGGGGCACCTGCCGTGCTGCCCCCAGCCCCGTACCCGCTCCTCCAGGACTCTTGCCTAAAGGGTCACACACAGCCTCAGACCCCCTGGGTGGCCTCCTCGGCGGGACCACACGCCTGCTTCTGAAACCCCCAGCCCGTCCATCCCAGCGCAGCCCCAGGAGGTCGCTGCCACTCCACTAGGAAAGCTGGGCTCCAGCCCCGATCTCGGCTGCTGGGGCTGCAGTGGGGGCGGGTCACAGCCTGCCTCTCGAGGCCGCGGGGCGAGAACCAGCCAGCAGAGGGGGCCGGGGCTCGCTCACCTGCGTGTAGGTGTCTGTGATGGAATAGTTCACCAGGACCATGACCAGGATGGAGATGGGGATGCCGAAGTCCCCGATGATGCGGCGGGCCTTAGGAGAAGGGGAGCAGAGGCGGGGGCGAGGGTCAGGAGACCAACAGGGACTCATTACCCCCGAGTTCTCTTGGGCCTGAGCTGGTTCGGGAAGTTCCCCAACCTGTCCCTTCGAACCCCATGGATGCCAGCCAGCCCAGGCGGGCATTCCTCTTCGGATTAGACTTCTCCAGGCTTCTGACGGGGATGGGGCTGCTCAGACTGCTTTGAGGTCCATGTGTCGGCCGGGAGAAGGGGCGGCCCCTCTCTGGAGCGGAGCCCGGCAGTCACAGTGGGAACTGAGGAAGTCCCACACTCCTGCCAGCCACACACCTTGCCTCCCAGGAAGCGGCTGTTCCTGAACTTGCGTAGGAAGAAGGCGATGAGGAAGGTCCCGAGCATGAGGATGAGCGACAGCAGGGCTGTGTTGGGCTGGTTCCTCGGGCCTGGCGGCCCCTCGGTGGGCGGCAGAGCACTCCCGTTCAGGTCCAGCTCCGCCTCCAGCACCTCCTCAGGGGGGTAGAATGGCAGCAGTGGGTGCTCCATGAACACCTGGGTGGGTTACAGGGGTGTCTTAGTGCTCACCTGAGCAGGTGAGCCTGGTTTCGTCACCATCAGGACACCTGCAAGAGAGAGAAGGCTGGCCCCTCACCGACTGACCAGGCAACAGTAACGCAGAGGACACCCAGCTCTGACACACATCCCCCTCTACAAAAGGGGACCGAGGCCCCCAGCCCCACGGTGCTGACAGTGATCACGTCTTCACGTCCTTATGCAGGTGAACCTTGGAGTTCTGACCAACACCTGCGGGTCTGACTCCTCCCCCTGCAGCTCACACCTAACCCAGCTGTCCCCGCCCCCCACCCCATACCCAGCAGAGCCCCCCTCTTTGGGCCCTCCGCCTCCAAGGCTCCGTCCGTGCTGCCCCCTCCCATGCTCTTCTCTCCAGGGTGCTGCCCACCCGCATCTACACCTGCCCTGCCCCCAAGACCTCTCTGGACCTCCACCTTGTAGATCTTGTGGAAGGTCTCGTAGATGAAAATGAGAGAGATGAGGAAGGCGAAGATCTCCTGGGTGAAAGGCGAGATGTAGCGGACCAGGAAGCTGCCCTCCGCGGCCACCAGAGCAATGACGAAGACCACCAGCCAGAGGCCGACCCACACCCGGCCGGTGAGGTACTCCAGGTCCTGGGACTGGCAGAACTGGCAGCCAGGAGGGCGGGGCGGTCACCCACAGCAGTCTGCCCTGGACATCGGGGGCCCCGTGGGGGTGGGGGGGGCGGGGAAGGTCAACTCCAAGGGGGAGTGCAGGAGACAGCAGGGACCTGGGCTGGGAAAGGAGGGAGACGCAGGGAGGGGCGGGTGGTCCCTGGGGAGGAGCAGGGCAGGGCTGTCACCTTGAAGAAGGCTTCCTCAAAGACCAGCAGTGGCCCTGAGAAGCCAACCACCAGCAGCGGCTGGGCCCCCAGCAGAGAGAAGAGGACGCCCAGCACAGCCGTGGACACGATCAGCTCGGACACGCCCATCAGCCCTTCAGTCTTCTCCCCTGGGGAAGGCCAGGGTCAGCAAGCGGCAGGGCCCTGGCCTGGCTGCCACCTGGCCTCTCTTCCTCATCTAGCCTACCCTAACCCGGGGACCCAGAAGGGAGCAGTCCCCCGGAGCAATGCGTCCATGCTCTGGACAGGGCCCCTCACCCCCGCCCCCACCAAGGTGACCATGGCATCCTCCACCGCTTCTCGCTCGATAGCCCCCAAAAGTGACCCCGGACTCCCCTGCCCCGGCAGCTCAGGGCGGCCACACTGGACACTATATCCCCGCGCACCCATAAGCCCATAAAGCGAGCTCGGGGACACCCGGACACAGGAGCCTGCAGGTGACACCGAGCCCCTGACCTCTCGGCCCCTCCCCTCACCTAGCAGCCCCCCGAAGGTGATGGCGGGGCTGAGGGCAGCGAAGTAGATAAAGAGCACAGCAGCCACGCACTGGGAGTGCAGGGCATCCCGCAGGTCGCTGGGGTAGTGCGGGTACCGGCGCTTCACGTCCCGGATGAGCCCCCCAAACACCAAGCCAGTCCGTCGCAGGGGGTCGTCTTCAGGGGTCACCTCGGGGCCCCCCAGTTCCACCGACAACTCTGGGAAACAAGGGGCTGCTGCGACACAGACCACCTTCTCCCACTTGGAGGCCCTGATCCTTCCCAGCCAGGCCCAGGGGGCAGGGGTCTGGGGGCAGGGACCTGGGGTCAGGGACCGGACACAGGACTCTGGGAGCCCCTATGGGGCTGAAGTCATGGCCTCAGGAGCTGTGTCCGGGAGCCGGGCGGGGGCGTGGCTCTGGGCCCCAAAGGGTCTAACCTTTCCCAGGGGCCACATAGCCTCCCAGGGAGCTCATCCGCTTCCTCAGCAGCTCGCGCTGGTAGGCAGCCACGGAGCGCAGCAGGTCGCGGCCCTCCACCTCCGACGGCGGGATCACGATGCTGCCGTCCAGGAACTCGCTGATGGCGCTCAGGAGGTCCTGCCGGTCATCGGCCTGGTAGGCCGCCTCATGAAACAGCTGGGGGCGGGGAAGCAGGGGCTGAGCCCACTCAGGGAGCCCCGGAGAGGGGGGGCTTCCGGGCAGGGGGTGTGAGGACCTTCAGCCACACACACACAGGTCAAGTCCAATGTCAAAATTCTGACTCAGGGGCCCTCCTTGTGGGCTGGCAGCTACAGCCTGAGCACTGCCCCTCTGAGTGTCTGCCCTCTATTCCCCCGGGAGCCCCCAGACTTTCCCACAACACCATCACGGCAGGGCTCAGCCCCAGCCGGCCGCGCAGAGGCCTCCAGGGCCTCGCGGAATGGAGAGCAGCCACCTCCTGCTGGCTGGCGAGCACAGGGTCCGGCAGAAGTAACGCCTGCTTGAGTGTGGTTGGTGGGGTAACACTGTGGGTGTAATCATTTTAAGGTTTTCATTTGAACATCTCACCTAAAATGTCATGTGCTGTGCCTGAGTGGGATAGTGTTACGTTACAGAATTACTGGCTTATGATTGCATAATAAACCAGGGGCGTTGTCTGTGCCAGGACCCGTGTTCCAAACGGCACACTCCTGTCCGAGCCCAGGAGAAGCCGCAGCAAAGACCCGCACATCAGCTGGTTCGAGTCTCACGTCACACCCACACCCTGGAGGTCCGGGCTGCGTCTCCTCTGCTGCCACCTCCCTCCCCCACAGCCCCAGCCTCCCCGCACCCCAAAGCACTGCCTCCACCCAGGAGGGCCTCCAGCAGCCTGGCACCCATGGGCACCCTGGGCACAGGGAGAGAGACAGGGAGCAAGGGGGACCCCGGGGTGGGGGTGGGGGGGGCGACAGGCCTCGAGCGCCCGGCCCAGGGGCTGCAGGACCAACCTTATCAGACATGAGGGTGGCGATGGAGCGTCCGAGCTCGTGGTAGTCGGTGGTGGTGTGGCTGGGCCCCAGCATCACGAAAAGGAAGCGAACCGGCACGGGGACCTCGAGCACGGATTCCAGGAGCACGGCCTCGTGCAGCCGCACGAAGGCCGCCGCTGGCTGCTCCAAGAAAGGCACACAGCCTGGGGGAGAGCAAGGCACAGGGTGCTGGGCGCAGGGGAGCGGCCCGGGGTGGGGGGGAGTGGGGGGGGGAGGAGGGGAAGTCTTAGCCAGCACATACAAACAGCGGGGCAGGGCGTGCTCCGCGCAAAGAAACCCCATCCGAAAGGAGACTTGTTCTCCCCGTTTATACGTTCGTGTGCCTACCACAACGATCAACAGATGGAAGTGAAGGGTCGTCGGGTGGGGGGTGCTGGTTTCTGATTCTCACAAGGGCACTACATGGGTTAGCAGCCGCCCCAGAGAGCCCACAGCGGGCAGGGAAGCAGGCAGAGGACAGGGGAAGAAAGGGCTGGAGCCCAGACAGGTTGGGGGGTTCAAGGGGGGCGGGGAGGAAGAGGCAGCCTGCAGGCCCAAGCTCAAGACCAGCAGACCCCAGCGGAGGCTGCGGAGACCCCCGTGCCCCTGCCCCCCGGCGCCCACCGTCCTTACCCACGAGCACCACGGTAGCCTCCGCATCTTCGGGGATCTTCTCCAGCAGCTTCAGGCTTTTCCCCCGGTAGCCGTCTCCCCCGGACAGGTGGAGGGGCTTCTGAGGACGCAGAACTGGAATAGGGCTGGGACCCAGACCGGAGGCCGTGGCAGGCCCTCCCTTCCCTTGCCCCAGCCCTGGACTCTGCCCTCCCACCCCTGGGCCTGGGCCCTGCTTTCCCCCACCCCCGCCAAGGCAGGGACTGCTGGTGATGGGCCCCACGTCAGGAGGGAGCCCCTTCTCCGAGCCCCCCCACAACCACCTCGGACTTATCTTGTTTCAATGGCTCCCCTGGGCCTGCTACCTCCTCCCACTTAGCCCCCCTGTTGCTCCAGACTCGGGGGGCCCCTTGCACATCCCCTGAAGATGCCCCCACAGGCCTAGTACGGGGCCGGGCCTCCCACCTTCCCGACCCCCTCCAGGAAGCATCAGTGGCCTCCGCTGAAACTGGAAGCCCTCCCACCCCACCCCCACCTCACCTCAGGTCAGAAAAAGGCGACTGACCTCCTTGGCATCGGGGTCGTGAGACCAGAGTACGGCCGGCTCCCCCAGGCTATCGGCCATGGTAGGCACTGCCCCGTCGGGGCCGTGACTGGGAGTGGGGTGGTGATTCCCCAGGACCGAGTTCACGCTGGAGCTGGACATGTTTCGGGGAAAGAAGCCACCGTCCTTGTCATCGTTGGGGTGGCTGGGGAAAGGGCAAAGGTGGAGAGGCAGGTTAGGGGGAGAGGCCCGCGGTGGACTGAGGTCGTGAGGAAGTGAGACACGGAGGGTCAGGGCCTCTACCCCTCGGCCTCAGTGGAAGAAAGAACTTTCTAATGGTTGGTGCGGTCCAAAGGGGAGTCAGGAATGAGCTCCCCGTCCCTCGGGGTACTCAAGCAGAGGCTGCAAAGTCACACAGGAGAGTCTGTACTCCTGGAGGGACAGCTGAACCGGGAGACACCCCCCCACACACTGGGCACCCCTCCCGGGCACCTGTGCTTCAGCAGGAGGGTGCGCAGGACGCTGGCCCTGTCCTCCGGCCGGATCTGGTCGGACACAATCATGGTCTCCACCACGAGGTGTGCAATGCCTGGCAGAGTGGTCTGCTCCAGGTCCAGGAGGGCAGCTCCTAGGGGCACAGTCAGAGGAGGGGACACGGTCCCATCAGATAGGAAAAAAGCCAGCCCCCAGCTGCCGTGCTCGCCCAGGCAGACAAACTTGCACCCAGGCAGACACGCAACCCCACATGGCCCCAGCCCAGCCAGGTTGTGAAAAGCGCAGCAGGGAACGAGGGTGTGGCCCCTCTCCACCCCAGGAAGGAGGCATCTGTTGGTTTCAGCCACACAGACTGCCTGCCGTCTACTGTGCCCTGGGTTCAGGGCCAGGTCCCAGGGCAAGGCCCTGCCCCTCAGGGCTCACTGCTGCGCAGGCAGCCGGATTCCAGGTGCCCCAAGCAGCAGCCAGACCTCGTCTGGGCCCCAGGACTCCAGGGAGTAAGTCCCCGGGAGCCGGGCAGCCTGGCACGGGCTCGGCGGCCTGGGCAGAGGGTGCGCAGCCCCAGGGCCAGGCCCGCAGGGCCCCTACCGTGGGCGATGGTCCTCCGGAGCTCCAGGAGGCTGCGGAAGGAGAGCGAGGCCACGTGCGGCTTCCCCCAGCGCTCCGTCTCTTCCTCCACGTCCTCCTCGAACTTGATCCAGCGCGCCGTCTCCCGCCAGTGGGGCTCCTGGCCGCCACGGTCCAGCATCAACTCATTCAGCTCCACGAACACCTGGGGTGGGCACCAAGGGGGAGGGCCAGGTGGGCCGTGGAGACCGGGCAAGGCGGAAAGGAAGGGAAAGGGAGGCTCTGGGGAGCAGAGGCGAGAGGAGCCACCACCCCCATCCCAGGGCCTGCACCTCATGAGGCCTCCGGTCCAACTGCTTCTTCTTCTTCTTCTTGCGCAGGATGGGGGCCAGGCCTCTGGGGCTGCCCCTCACAGCCTGCGTTCGAGACGGCTTCTTCACTAAGTGCCGCCTCATGCCAGGGTTGTCCTCCAGCCGGTGACCTGCAGAGGAGGTGGGCTTGGCAGTCCCGGGGGTCTATCTCAGGGTCTCCAGGTCATGGCCAGGCCCTCCAGCACCCTGCTCTGCCCAGCCAGTCCACAGTGACCCAGGGGCTACACCAACGGACTACATCCTCCGATGTGGCTGTTTCACAGATAAGGAAACTGAGGCCCAGGGAGGAGGGAAGGACTAGCTCACAGTCACACAGGGAACCACTAGCCAAGCCACAGTGAAAAGGCAGACCCCAACTCGGCCCACAGCCCCTGCCACGGCCACAGCCACTGCCTCTCACTCTGGAGTGTCATGACCCACGGCGAGTCGCCAAGCCCCAGGCCCCCGGCACTTTCCCTGAGCCCTCTCTCAGCACCCATGTCCAACCCCACAGGTACAGGCTAATGCAGGCAGCTCCTCCCTGCCTGCCTCCCTGCCTGCCTCTTCTCGGCCAGCAGCTGGGGAAAGGCCATCAGCCCCTTTACTCACCCGCTGGTTCCCCTGCCATGGGGCTCAGCGGGTCCCTGGCGGACTCCCACAGGTCACAGTGTTCAAGGGCCAGCACAAACATCTCTAAGTCCTCTGAGGCCAGTGAGTCTCGAGGACCGAGAGCTGGAGCCCTCCCCGGGCCCTGGCCCTCAGCATCCGGGGGGGGCCCAGGGCTCAGGGCCCCATCGGCCATGGTGACCTCCTCCGGCGGGCTCGTCATTCCCAGATGGCGGCCGGGGCCCCAGCCCTGCCCCCTCCCAGAGCCCCGGCTCTCCTAAGAGATGGCAGCCTGGACGGGGAAGGGGCCCTTGTCCAGCCAGAGCTGGGGGTGGCTGGGCCTCTCAACCCCGACTCCCCGCGTCCCCAGGATGGCTCCCGGCTGCTGCCAGCCCTCACCCGGGATCTGTAAACACACCCTCCCCCGACCCCCCCCCATCCTGCCACCACCACTGCTGCCGCCATCGGATTGTTCCTGTCCCTGTCCTCAGGCCCTGGCAACTTTCCATGACGTATTGAGCTCAAGCCCTCCTTCCCACCCCCGCCCACACACTGGTTCTGGGGGGGGAGGGAGGCGGGGTCAGTGATGCCTCTGGCCTGGGCACAGAGCCCCACGGGCGATGACAGGTGGCACAGAAACCAGGGCCTGATAAGATAGAAAGAATGTGCCGAGATCACAGCCAGGGCCAGCCCAGGGTGGTGGGTCAGGGGGGAGGGGGCAGGCTCCGCCGACACAGGGAGAGGCAGGGCCCGGCACGGTGGCCCCGACTCAAGGGGCTAGTTTGAAAAGAGTCTGCCCCAAGAAGACGATGGAGATATATATAATGGTATCTCCAAACACCAGGTGGAAGGGGGGCTCCCTTATTCCAGAGGTGGATCAGGGGACAGAATCAGGACAGAAGGGCAGAGATGTCATGAAGGAAAATCTCAGCTCTGGAAACCAGAGCTGAGAGGTAGTGAGCTCCCCATCACCAGCCACATTCTAGCAGGCAGGGGTACTGCAGAGGGTGGCTCAGCCCTGGGCTGGGGAGAACACGGAGCCTCTCCAAGGTCCCTCACGGGCTCGGTGCTCCCGGGAGTGGGCCATGGGGGCTGCTCTAGGGTATCACTCACTTTTCATGTCATCCAGGTCCGCGGAGCCCAACATCTGGGCCTCCGCCTCGTCAGTGGGCACCTGCTGCTCCGGGCCTCCCAGGCTGCCCAGGGCACTGCCTGGGCAGAGCCGCTCCCGAAGGTCATAGCTGGCCGATGGGCTCCAAGGCCGGCTCTTCTCCCCAGCGACTCGGGAGGTCCAAGCCCGGGGGCTGAGGGAGCTGAGGGAGCTGAGGAGGCAACAGACAGCCTTGGACTTGACAGGAAGCCACAGTGGAGATGGACCAGGTTAGGGAGCTCCTCTGCCTCCAGCGCAGGGCCAGGCCCCTCCCTCCCGGGCCGAGGAGAAAGCGCACCGCCGCCCTCCTGCCCCCGTCACACTGGACCCCCTTCCTCTCCATCTCCACCCTCCTCTTCACTCCGACGCCCTCTCTCCTGGAGGAGTCTTCCCCTCTTGGCCCTCGGATTCCCCCTTGCCAATCATGTGGACAGGGAGGGCCGCCGCTCCCCACCTCCTCTGCCCCCTCGCCTCGCCTCTCCTCTCCCCTTCTCTGGGGTCAGAGGAGGACACATTCTCCGGGATCAGGCAGGAGCCCGGGACCTCCTCTGAGCTGGGCTGGAGGCCAGTACCTGACCGAGTGCTGGGGACTCTTGTCGGAGCGAGGAGCCCCTGAAGACAGGGGCTTGGTGAAGGCAGCCCTTCCAGAGGAGCTGGGACTGTCATCCTCGTCACTTCCAATGGAGAACTGCAGACAGACCAGATGTGTCCTGGGCCCCTGCCCCAACCCAGCCACCCCGCCCTCACTGAACAGCCAGCCTGCCCTCGGGGAGAGGGGGGTGCAGACACCTACCTTGGCTTTCTGGGGGGACCCTGAGGGTGGGGGCTCCACAGGCTCGGCCTCAGATTCCCCTGCCTCTTCCTCTTCCTCCTCCTCCTCCTCTTCCTCCTCCATCCCCATTCCCCCCTCCTCCTGGATGGGAGGGGTCCCCTCGGAGGGGGCCACAGAGGTCCTCTCCTTCTTCTTCCTCCTGGTCTGCCGGGCAGAGGCAGGGGGCAGTCGCCGCAGCTTGTGGGGTGGAGGCAGGCGCACCGAGAGCGGATGGTGAGTGTGGTGGGATGTGTGCCGGTGAACTGGGGGTACAGGAGGGTCAGTTGGGGCCCCCACAGCAGATGGGGACCCCTCACCACCCTAGGGACACACACCTTATTCTGGCTCAAGGCCTCCAACAAGGGCACCCTAGCCCTTCCTCCAGAGCCAGGTTCCCCCTAACACCTGTGTACGTGGCCTGGCAGAGTGGGGGGACGGGAATGATGCAAAGGGGGTTCATGAAAGAGGGGTGGTGGGAATGGGAGGACATGACGCAGCAAAGTCGGGCCAGAGAGCTCAGGAGGGGAGACGAGGAGGCAGAGAGAGGTGGGCCAGGGGCTCGGCAGCCGTGGGGAAGGTGAAGGTCACGCACAGAGGGAGGCCTGGGGCCCAGGTCCCTACGTTCCCCCTGCGATGGGCGAGGGAGGCAGGATGACTTAACATGGCATGGTGGCCCCACGCAACATCCAGCACAGCGTCCAGCACAAGATGACACTGGGTGACCCAGCCAGTGGTGAGCGCGGTGATGGTGGCAATGAAGGTGATGGTGGTGAGGGTGGCCGCGCCAGGGGTCCCCAGACTACCCACACTCGAAGTCCCGCTCGCTGTAGTTGCGGCTGGGCTTCTCGGGGTCCCAGGCCGGGGGCTTGCTGATGAGGTCCCCAAACCTGCTCACAGCCAAGGTCTTGCCCAAGTCATCGTCCTCCTCCTCCACGTCGGGGCTCAGAGGGGGCTCCTCCAAGGGCACCCGGACCTGCAGGCTCAGACAGCTCTCCTAAGGACCCTTGAACGCCCCACACCCACCCAACGCCAAGCCCTGGGAGGAAGCAGGGGAGACCAGCGGGCTCCATCTTCCACAACCCCCGTTCTTCCAGGGCCTCAGGCTGGGGTCAGCTCCCCAGGCTTGGGAAGACGGGACAACGGATCTGAAAAATACCACAAGACCCCTCTTTCTCCATACCGCCTAGCCCAGCTCCATCTTGGAGCTTGGGGGTCCCAGGGTCAGCCAGAGGACACCCCAATCCTGTTTGGGATCTCCCCCCCTCCTCATTCCCCATCCCCACTCGTCAGTCACCTGGGGTAAGGGGGAGGCGCCCCCGGGCGGCGGGATCACTCCGTTGGCCATGGCCGGGGAGGCGGCTTGGGAGGTTCTCGCTCACTGAGGGACCCGTGACCCGGGCGAGACGAAGGGGGCGCTGCGGGGACCTAGTGGGGGGTACTGGGGGAGGAAGGGAGGGTCTGGATCCTCGCACAGCCCTCCGCTCCCCTCTCTGGAGCCCTATCCCCCGCCCGCCCTAGCTCCCAACCAAGGCCCGGCCACACCCGGGCGCCCTGGGGCCCGGCCCCGGCCCGCCGAGCCCCGCCCCACCCTGCCCTGCGGTACCTCGGGGCTCCGGGACTTGCGGCGCCCGGGCCGGCCTCTGTGCCCCATCTCCCTCCGACTCTCGCTCAGAAGCCTGTCGCCGCGTAGGGCCGAGCAGCTGGGGGGCGCCCGCGGCGGAGGGCAGCCGAGCCGGCCTGGCGGACGCAGGCGCCGGAGTCCGCAGCTCGCGGCTCCACCTCCTCGCGCTCCACTCCGCAGCTCCGCGCCGCCGCCGCCACCACCGCCGCCGCCGCCGCCGGGCAGCACAATGGGAGCGGGCGTGCGGTGACTCACCTCGCCCCGGCCCACCCGGCCCCACGCGCGGCCCCCACGCGCGGCCTCCGCAGCACCCCACCAGCCCTTTCTCTGGACGTCCCACACTTCGCTGGAGCAGAGACCTCCCTCTTCTTGCTTTTAGCCTCCCTCCCCTCAAGAGGCGCGGGGGCGACCCCTCTGCAAACATAAGCCCCTCCGACCTGAGCTCACAGCATGGGGAAGCACCCGCCACCTCTCCCTTCAGTCCCAATATAGCCCCAAATGCTGGGCTTGTCACCACCGCACCACCCAGTATTTGACCTTGGCCTCTGTTTCCCCACCTGTAGCCAACAGGGCCAGGAATAGGAGTGTTTCAAAGTTTCAGGGGGCTCTGAGATTCTGTGGCTGTTTCCATTCCTCCCTCCCTGGTCCCCCACTCCCTGAGGTTACATCTCCTTTTCCAAGGGCAAAGGTCTTCGGACCAAACTAATGGGTTTGACCCTTTGGGGGGTCTCACTGAAACGGAGCACAAGGCCATGTGCATTAACCCCACAACCACATGTGTGAAGACACCCCTGAGTCCTTAGGAGGACATAAAAGGAGGTCAGGGGAGAGCGGGAGATGGAGCTGATGGGCAGGGGAAGGTGGAACTGGCCAGGCCCAGGAGAGGAAACCAGCTCCTGGGAGGAGCGGGAAGGGTGCTAGCACAAATGGAGCTCCATGAGGGGTCAAGTTCAACCCTGTGGCCTTGAACATGTAATTTGCCGTCTCCAACCCCGGCCTTCATGTGGTTCCCAGCCCAGCCCAAAGGAAGATTGTTCTCTATTCAGAGCCACACAAGGGGCAGAGCAGACAGACAGCAAGAGTCTGTCCAGCACCCACTTCTGCTCTGTGCAGCGGCGGGGTGCCAGGCCCTCTCGGGCTCATCTCAGCCTTCCCGCAGCCGAGGCCCGGGGAGGCTTGTTAACCAGCCGTGGGCACAGCCGGGAAGCAGGTGGCCACCAGGGCATCACTGGTGTATAGGTGACTGCCTGAGCCACAACCCCCCTGCGCTGACAGGGTGCTTGACCACCTCGTGTCACAGGGTCTTAAGAGGGTGAAACAAGACAGCAGTGCGGGAGTCAGCTGGGCGCGAGCAGAGCACGTGAACGGTGCCCCGGATCTCAGGATGTGAGACCCATCTGTTATCCGTTGAAGTGCGATCCCCCAAAATTCGTATGTTGAAGCCCTTTTATCCCCAGTACCTCCGAACGTGACCGTATTTGGAAATAGCATAGTTGACAGACGTTAAAACAAGGGCAGGCTGGGACAGGGTGGCTCCTTGGCCAGTGTGACTGGTGTCCTTATAAAAAGGAGAATTCGGACACAGACGCACTCAGGGAGAACGCCGTGTGATAACTGCCGTTATGCTTCCCCGAGCCAAGCACTACCAGAAGCTGGAGGCCTGGAACAGGTCCCTCCCTAGCCTTGTGGTGGCGGCTCTGCACTCCCATGTGTCACCCTGACCCTTTCTCCCTCCCCCAGGCAATTCGGTTCCAAGTCTCCACCCTGAGGGTTGTTTGGGTGGAGCCTCCACTTGCTCTGGTCTTCAGTCTACCTCCTATGCCTGGACATGGCCCCAGTCCGTCTCCCACCCAATCAATTCAGACAGCAGCAACTTGAACACCAGGACAGCCTGAGGTGGGTCTTGCCAGCCTGGGGCCTCATGAACTGGGCCCAGGACCCCACTGCCCATGGACACCACTCGGCTGGTCCTCTGAGGCCCTGCCGCAGGTCCCCGCTCTTCCTGAGACCCTCAGACTCCCCCCATGTTCCTCCCAGCTGGGGACTCCCCCAGGCCTCCCGTGGTCAGCAGCTTCAGCCTCTCGCCTTGCAAGCCCTTTCCTGCATCTCCTAGCCCGTGGGATGGTGACGTGCAATCTTCCGTGAAAAGATCCTATGAACTTAGGCCCCCAAGTTCATCTGTCCTTCAGGATGGGGGGTGCCGCCAGCCACCAGGTTGTCAGACCCGCTCCTCCGATGAGACATCAGTGTTTGCAGTGTCAGCACTGCTGGTCCCAGTGGGGTCTTCGTCCCTGAGACGAGAATGCTCCTTGTGTGCACAAAGGATGGCCACTGTGTGCGTGTGTGCATGTGTGTGTGTGTGTGTGTGAGAGAGAGAGAGAGAGAGTGTGGGCGAGTGGCTGCCCTGTCAGCTGCCAGCTCAGAGCCTGGAGATATTCAGCAGTGACAGGAAAGGTGACAGCAAAGGCAGAAGCACAGAGCATCCCTGTCGCACCCCCTCCACTGCCCAGTCCGACTTGAACATCCTCACTACAAGCTTCCCAGATGAGTTTCTTAAAGAGATGACACCTTTGCTACCAGGAGCCACACAGGGAGGGGATTTAAGCGTGACGCCCTGAGCCAAGCCGTCTGAGTGCACAGCCCGGCTCTGCCACTCGACGACCGCATGAACTTTCTGGGCCTCACCTTCCCCATCTGCGTGAGGGGGTGACAACGGGGTTGTGGAGAGAGTGAAGTACGTTCCACCCTGTAAAAAGCACCAGGACAGTGCCTGACACATAGCAAGTGCTCAGTCAGTGCTGGCTAGCTTCACTACTACAAATCAAAGATCCGCAAGTACAGGGCTGGGAAGCCCTCGGGTACCTGGCAATGTGGAACACAATGAATACACACGCAGGAAAGAAGTGGGAGCTGACTTGCACTTACAAGGGTGCTGAGTCCTCCAGATGCCGCCCATGCAAAGCCACAGTTGACACAGAAGAAGGCAGAAAGGTCAGAACCACGTTTACCTCCCCCAGGCTGGAGTCTGACGCTCCTTGGCCGACGGGCCAGTCTGCACCTTTGCAGCCCTGATGTAGCAGGCCAGAGAGCTCCTGCACGAGAGTGAGACGTGGGTTCCAGTAGCCCCAGCCTGCCACTTAGACTGACCTGGAACGCCCTCGTGTCAAGAACACCTCCTCCCCCCTCTCCAGAGAGCAAGGGCCCGGTGTCGTTCGCTGTTGACTGGCCTCATGGCGAGGCTTTATCTTTACAAGAGGTAATGCGGTGTTGGGGAGGAGCCCGGGCTCTGGAGTTGGAGACGCTCTACATGAAATACCAGTTCGATGCTTGGCACGCACTGAGCGCTCAATAAATGCCATTCTTATGATTTACTGTTGTCGTTACTCTGCTGTGGTCAATCCTGTCGTAATCCTTGTGTCCCTCGGTATCCTTGGACCCATCTCAAGTCAGCGCCACCTGTCCCCGGAGGCTCTCACCCTGCAGAGCCCGCCTTTTAGCTCCAGAGGCACAGATCTATCTGCGCTAGGATGACATGTTGACATATATGAAGCTATGTCCTTTCTCTCTCCTCCCCCAACCCCACCCGAGCAAGTAGCCTGCTTTGAATTGTGTTGTTCTGGGGAGTGTGGAGGGAGGTTTGCAGAGGAGGAAAAGGAAAGCATTAGCAAGAGTGGATGTGGTGGTCAAAGGAGCAAGCCTTTGCCATCCCCCGTGAGCAAAGCAAAAGGAGGTTCCCCCAAGAAGGGGGGATCAGAGAGGGAGTGAGTGGGGGGAGTCCTGCCAACAACCCCCCGGGATGAGGGGTTCAAATAAAAGGTTGTTTTGAAAATGTTGCGACGTAGTATTTCATGCACGCCCAAGAGTGTGAACAGAAACCTGCTTGTGCACCGCACACCAGGCATCGGGTGCACACGCATCCGTGAGAAAGCCTGACCCGGTCCCGGCCCTTGGGCAGCTTGCAGACAAGCAAGCAAATTACAGAATGCGGCAAGTGCCGTGGCGGGAAATCCCAGTCACAGAGAACATGCGGGCGGCACCGTCACGGACACACTAAGAATCGCTGTGCGATGTGGGGCGGGCTCGGGCCGCGTGGGAGAGGCGGGCATTCCGGGCAGAAGGAAGGGCCTGGGAAGGGCCCCATGACGGAGGAGAACAGATCTGCAAGGATCCTTGGGCACTGAGGATCTGGACGGTTTTCCTGGTCAACCAGGGTAACCCTGAAACCTGGCACCACAGGGAGACAGACCGAAAAGGACTAGAGGGCCAACCAATGTGGACCAGACGACTAAGTCCAGTTTCAGGGAAAACCAGAAAGGGCCCGAGTTAGAGACGCCGCATCCCCTAGGTGAGAATCACCTTTCTTTCTTTTTTTTTTAAGATTTTACTTATTTATTTTTAGAGAGGGAAAGGAGGGAAAAAGAGAGAGAGACATCAATGTGCAGTTGCTGGGGGTCATGGCCTGCAACCCAGGCGTGTGCCCTGACTGGGAATCGAACCTGCGACACTTTGGTTCGCACCCCACGCTCAATCCACTGAGCTATGCCAGCCAGGGCAGAATCACCTTTCTTAAGCCCGGGTTCAGCTTCCTCCCCTGTGAAACAGAGATCACACTTCTCCTCCAGGGTTGTATTGGACGCGATCATGTCAGTACAATGACTAGTACGAAGACCAGCACGGAGCCGGTGCTCCAGAACGGCTGTCATCATGAGATCTGCCCACTGTAATCTTCCGCGCCCTTCACGGCCCAGCCCCAAGGTGACTCGCTCCTCTCCCTCAAAGGGACCGTAAGCTCCATGAAAGCAGGAGCACGT